TCCTACATGCGAGGACGAGCAGGAGGACGAGCGACTGCGAGGACACCTGAATTCTACACCAGGATTCCTACATGAATCTCAAGGGCAATGCTTGCAGATATGCTTCTACACATCGTTGTTAGGTTGCTTTGCCGGGATAATTGATGTTATTAGTAGTATTCGAAATCGTTTTATAATTGTTAAAGCTGCTAATACTGTTGGTGATGATATTATTCGTATTAAAAAGGATTGACCGTGTGACTAGTATTTATATTCTGCTTCGCAAACGTATTATTATGTTGTGATAACGGTATTCATATATGTCAACGAATTATTAGTTATATTACGCGTCGTCCTGGTATTATTCGCGTCCTTAGTGGTATGAGTGTTGCTCGTAGTATCAGTGTGATTCGTATTATGACAACGTTTCTCATGCTGAGTGCTATTCGCACTGAGGTGTAATACGTAGCACCCCGCAATTGCGGATAAGAGTGAGGGGGCGGGCGCGGGCGACGCGGGCGTCGTCGAGCCGGGGACCTCGTGGCCCCCACCTTCCCTGTCGATGGCGGTCTCCTCCTCCTCCTCCTCGTCCTCCTCCTCCTCCTCGTCCTCGTCCTCGTCCTCATCGTCATCGTCGTCCTCCTCCTCCACCTCGTCCTCCTCCTGGTCTTCTTCCTCGTTCTCCCTCTCCCCCCCTCGTCCTTCCATCATGGTCCTCCCATTGTCGTCCTCCCCCTCATCGGCCACCATCATCGTCCTCCCATTGTCGTCCATCATCATCCTCCTCCCCCTCCTCCCCCTCCTCCCCCTCCTCGTCCTCCTCCTCCCCCTCCTCCCTCTCCTCCCCCTCCTCGTCCTCCTGCTCCTCCTCCTCTGTCTCCACATTCTCCTTACATCCTCTCTTCTTCCGCGTCCTCCTCGTCCCCTGTTAACTCCTCGTGCCTCCCCCTCCTTCCCCAAGATAACGGCAACGCAATCCTTTTTTCCACTTTATGCTCCCCGACTTCTCTGATCAAGGCAACTCGCCGGGGCAAAGTTGCTGGACGGGCAAGTGTGGATGCGCGGGGCTTGAAGAGGTCGTTGCGGGCTCAGACGGCATGCAAAAATCCGCCCCCACGCTTGTGCGGCATTGGTTTGTTCAGTGAACGTGGTTTGGGTCGCGGGTGGGTCGCGGGCTCTCCACCTCCACCTGGAAGGAATGCAAAAGCAGCCCGCCGCAAGCGCCGAAAAATTTGGTTTGTCAACTGAAAGTGGTTTGGGTCGCGGGCGGGCTGCGAGTTCTCCACCGGGAACGAATGCAAAAGATGCCCGCCGCAGGCGCCAAGAAAAATTTGGTTTGTACCCTGAACGTGGTCGCGGGTGGGCAGCGGGCTCTCCACCTGAAACGAATGCAAAAGATGCCCGCCGCAGGCGCCGACAAATGTGGTCTGTACCCTGAACGTGGTTTGGGTCGCGGGTTGGTCGCGAGTTGGTCGCGGGGAGTGGGTCGCAGGCTGTCCACCACCTGGAAGGGATGCAAAACAAGCCCGCCGCAGGCGCCGAAAATGGTGGTTTGTACCTCGAACGTGGTTTGGGTCGAAGGTGGGTCGCGGGTGGGTCGCGGGGTGGGTCGCGGGTGGGTCGCGGGTGGGTCGCGGGTGGGTTGCGGGTGGGTCGCGGGTGGGTCGCGGTTGGCCGCGCCGGGGTCGCGGGGTTGGTCGCGGGTGGGTCGCGGGGTGGGTCGTGGGGTGGGTCGCGGGGTGGGTCACGGGTGGGTCGCGGGTGGGTCGCGGGTGGGTCGCGGGGTGGGTCGCGGGGTGGGTCGCGGGGTGGGTCGCGGGGCGGGTCGCGGGTGGGTCGCGGGTGGGTCGCGGGGTGGGTCGCGGGGTGGGTCGCGGGGTGGGTCGCGGGTGGGTCGCGGGGCGGGTTGCGGGTGCAAACAACAAACAACAAACAACAAACAACAAATAAAAACAAGAATCCGCACCGTGGAATCCCACTTCAGCCACGCACCCAGGGACAGTGAATGCCCGTTCGGCCCCCTCACTCTGATTAATTGTACGGAGATCGAAAGTATTATTCGTCATACGTAGCACCCCGCAATTGCGGATAAGAGTGAGGGGGCGGGCGCGGGCGACGCGGGCGTCGTCAAGCCGGCGGACCTCGTGGCCCCCACCTTCCTTGTCGATGGCGCTCTCCTCCTCCTCCTCCTTCTCCTCCTCCTCCTCTTCCTCCTCCTCCTCCTCCTCCGCCTCCTACTCCTCTTCCTCGTCCTCGTCCTCGTTCTCATCGTCATCGTCGTCCTCCTCCTCCACCTCGTCCTCCTCCTCCTCCGCTTCTTCCTCGTCCTCCCTCTCCCCCCCTCGTCCTTCCATCATCGTCCTCCCATTGTCGTCATGTTCCTCCTCGTCGTCCTCCTCCTCTTCCCCCCCTCCCGATCCTCCCCCCTCCTCCTTTTCGTCGTCGTCGTCGTCGTCGTCGTCGACGTCGTCGTCGTCCCCTTCCTCGTCCTCCTCCTCCTCCTCCTCCTCCTCCTCCTCCTCCTCCGCCTCCTCATCCTCATCCTCATCCTCATCCTCCTCCTCCCCCTCCTCGTCCTCCTGCAAAAGCAGCCCGCCGCAGGCGCCGAAAAAATTGGTTTGTACACTGAACGTGGTTTGGGTCGCGGGTGGGCCGCGGGTTCTCCACCGGGAACGAATGCAAAAGATGCTCGCCGCAGGCGCCGAACAAATTTGGTTTGTACCCTGAACGTGGTCGCGGGTGGGCCGCGGTCTCTCCACCTAGAACGATTCAAAAGATGCCCGCCGCAGGCGCCGAAAAATGTGGTTTGCACCCTGAACGTGGTTTGGGTCGCGGGTTGGTCGCGAGTTGATCGCGGGGTGGGTCGCGGGCTCTCCACCTGGAAGGAATGCAAAAAAAAGCCCGCCGCAGGCGCCGAAAATGTTGGTTTGTGCCTTGAACGTGGTGTGGGTCCAAGGTGGGTCGCGGGTGGGTCGCGGGGTGAGTCGCGGGTGGGTCGCGGGTGGGTCCCGGGTGGGTCGCGGGCGGGTTGCGGGTGGGTCGCGGGTGTGGGTCCGCGGGCCGGGTCGCGGGGTGGGTCGCGGGTGGGTCGCGGGTGGGTCGCGGGGTGGGCCGCGGGGTGGGTCGCGGGGTGGGTCGCGGGTGGGTCGCGGGTGGGTCGCAGGGTGGGTCGCAGGGTGGGTCGCAGGGTGGGTCGCGGGGTGGGTCGCGGGGTGGGTCGCGGGGTGGGTCGCGGGTGGGTCGCGGGTGGGTCGCGGGTGGGTCGCGGGTGGGTCGCGGGGTGGGTCGCGGGTGGGTCGCGGGGCGGGTTGCGGGTGGGACGACAACAACAAACAACAACAAAACAACAACAACAACAACAACAACAACAACAACAACAACAACAACAACAACAACAACAACAACAACAACAACAACAACAACAACAACAACAACAACAACAACAACACGAATCCGCACCGCGGAATCTCACTTCAGCCACGCACCCAGGGACAATGAATGACCGTTCGGCCCCCTCACTCTGATTATAAGCCTGTGCTGCGTTGCTGAAACTGCCAGCGGGACACAATCAGGCAGCCAGGGAGCCGATGCAATTGCCAGTCGCAGAAGATTGCTCGCGATCCTGACGGCTTTCGCAGCGTGCGCGCAAGGGCATGCCCGCGCACGCATGTAGGCATCCAGCGAGTGATGCCAGCGCGTGCACCCGGAGCAATTGATTCGTGCACCACGTGCAGAACCCCGCGAGCGTGGAAACACGCGCGTGTAACTCCATGCGTCGGGAACCCCATGCTCGTAGGACACTACGAGTGTGGACCTCACGTGAGTGGAACCTCATGGATAAAACACCATGCGTGCAGCACACCATGCGTGTGGAGTGGAGCCCCATGCTTGTGGAACCCGGTGTGTGTGTGTGTGGATCCCTGTGTTTGTGGACTCCGTGAGCCTCGAACCCCATGTATGTGAACCCCCAATTTTGCGGAACCTCATGCGAGTGAATGGGCATGTACGTGTAACCCCATACGTGTGAAGCCAACGCGAATGAAAGCCCATGGAAGGGAAATCGATGCGCGAGGACCTCCACGTCAAACCCTCGGCACCCAGGTGTGAAGCCCCATCTGCGTGAAACCCCGCCCGTCTGGAACCCCGTGCGTGCGAAGCCCCATGCGCGCGGAACCCCATGCGTTTGAAAACCCTTGCGAGGGACCCCACGCGCGCGTTGCCCCGTGCGTGGAGAGCCCCGTGTGCGCAGAAGCCCGCAGACCGATGCAAACTCTCTGCAGGCGCAATGGAAACACGTTGTTTATCATTCGTTATGACGCCTGTGACTGGTCCCGCCCCCTCCCCCTCCCCCCCCTGGTCACGCCACGATTCGCGCCGGCGCCGTCGCGGAATGGGCAATTCCTGGGCACTCTCGGACAGCGCCGGCGCGAATCGTGACGTGAAAGGCCCCCTCCCCCTCCCCCGGTCGCGCCAGTTATCCCGAGGGGATGCAAATAGCCTCTTACGCAAGCACGATGCGAAGCAGCATCACCGTGCCAGTCTGAGAGCTCTCGGAGACACAAGGGCGGCACGTGAGCAAACGAAGAAACGCATCGAGGTGCCCAGTGCGATCGGCGAGTTCAGGACCCGGTCCTGAGAGCGTGTCTGATCGATCCCTCTCGGGCAGGACGCGCGTGACGGAAAATGGCCCCGAGGAAAAGACGGCGCGCAGAGGCTAGGAACTGGCTCCGTCACGCGCCCTGCCCGAGAGGGGCCGATGGGACAAACTCGCAGGCAGGAGGAAGGGCACAGCAGGAGAAGACTGGAGGGGGAAGAGGAAGAAGACAAGGGGGGGGGGCGGAGGAGGTGGAGGAGATGGAGAGGGGCGAAAGGAGGTGATGGAGGTGGAGGAGGTGAGGTGGAAGAGGTGGACGGAGGTGGAGAAGGGAGGCCTCCGCGCGCTGGCCAGGGGCCCGCCCGAAGAAGCCGCTGGGGCCGCGCGAGGACGAGGGCGGGGAACGGGCCCGCCGACGGCGGCGGTGGCCTGGGTTGACGTGCCCGGACCACCACGGCGCGTCTGGCGGCGCGCAGAGCATCGTAACGCTCCTGGCGGCGCAGGAGCGGCAGCAGAGGGGGAGCGGAGGACGAGGTGCTCTTCCTCCTCCTCATCATCCTCCTCCTCCTGCTCCTGCTCCTGCTTCCGCTCCTCCTGCTCGTCCTGCTCCCCCCTCCTCTTCATGGACTTCCCTCTTCCTGCCTCCCCTCCTCCATAACTCCCTCCCTCCCCGTCTCCTGCCTCGTCCTCCTCCTCCCTCTTCCTCCTCCTCCTCCTCCTCCTCCTCCTCCTCCTCCTCCTCCTCCTCCTCCTCCTCCTCCGCCTCAGCCTCCGCCTCCGCCTCAGCCTCCGCCGCCGCCGCCTCCGCCTCCGTCTCCGCCTCCGCCTCCGCCACCTCCTCCTGCTCCTCCTCCTCCTCCTCCTCCTCCTCCTCGTCCTCCCCCCTCCTCCCTTCTCCAAAATGATTATCCCTCTTCCTTTGTCATCTCTCTCCTCTACCTCCTCCTCATCATCCGCTACGTCGTCCTCGCCCTTCTCCTCCTCCTCCGTTTCATCCTCCTCATCATCCTCCTCGTCGAAGTTTCCTCGACCTCCTTTCTCTCCTCCTCCAAGAGGATGGAGAGGGATTCCAGGTTCAAAGGTGCAGATGCGCCCTAGGGGCCGCAGTCTGCGAAGCGGAGAAGGGGGGCGGGGACAGACCAGGGGACCCACCCGAGGACTACGAAAACCGAGAGCCCACCGAGGGCCCGAGCGACGTGGGAGTTGGAGGAAGAGGAGGAGGAGGAGGAGGTGGAGGAGGAAGAGGAGGAGGAGAAGGCGGAGGAGGAGGAGGAGGAGGAGGAGGAGGAGGAGGAGGAGGAGGAGGGGAGGTAGGAGGGAGAGGAGAGGAGGAGGAGTTGGAGGAGGAGGACGACGAGGAGGAGGAGGAGGAGGAGGACTCGCTGTAACGGCCTGGTAAATTGGAGATTGTTCGTCGCCTGCGCTTTGCAAGACTCGTGGTGGCATGCGGCGGCCTTGCGCCGAACTACCGTCTGGGACGGTCTGCTGCGGCCTGGGGCCAAACTACCGTCTGGGACGGTCCGCTACGGCCTGGGGCCGAAGCACCATCAGCAACAGACAGCGACCGGCTGACCAGCACCAGCACCGCCAGCAGCACATCCAGCACAAGGCACTACGACCCGACGACAAGCGGGCCAGCTTCACCAGTCGGGGCGACCAGCAGGCCACTCCAGCTCGACGCGACGACCAGCTAGCCTCCAGCAGCACACCACCCACAACCCCCACGACTAGCAAACAATCCACATGGCAGCAAAGCGAGACCAGCAGCTCACACGACTGCCAGTCGGCCACCACCCGCCTCCAGCACTGCAGGGCAGGAGCTCGCCGAGGCCTGGGCGGGAGCCCGAGCTACGGCGCGGCGCGTCCCTGCACGCTCGACCCGACGGCCAGCCGACCACCACCAGCGCACCCAACTGCAGCACCACCAACACCACACGAAGACCAGTCGACCAGCACCAGCACTACCAGCACCAGCAGCAGCACCACTACCACCACCAACTTACCAGCGCAGCCCGACTGCCAGCGGCAGCGCTCAGTCGACCACGACAGCGCGCCGCGAGAGACCGAGCCCAACCCAGCCGCCCCGGCAACTACAACCAGCGACCACCCACCCCGACCTCTGCAGCAGGACTGCAGCCCAGCGG